CTTTTAGATTCTCTTCCTCGTTGCTTCCCGTTTCGTATCCCTCTGACCTCAGCCCGTCATAATGGCGAGGAGGTTGCTGGCAAGTGTCTGTCACTGCATGACACCTACATATTGGACACTCTGTTTGACGAGATTATGACGGCATTCGATAAACGTAGTAGTTGGTCGTAGGGGGATCGGTTCCCTAGTTATATAGCGTTATGAATTTAAATAGTATTTCCTGGAAAGTGCGGGAAAGTGATAATGGTGCGTAATGTAAACCATCGATCGATCTCATCAAGAGAGTTTTACGCAATTATATATCTATGGTTAGCTGTTAATGGAGTTTTATTCGCTTTACGTGAAGTGACGTGGTAAAACTCGGTGAAAAAACGCGATATTCGCGGTGATATGCAGGAGTCGTAGAGTATGTTTTTCACTAGTGTTTTTCATTTTACTAGGGTGGTGAAAACAAGTGGTATTACTGCCATATTTTTACTAGTAGTATAAATACAAACTATTGATATCCTACATATTCATTTCATACTATTGTTATAAATATTAGATATAAATTAGTGAGTATTATCGTTGGAGTTTCACCGGTGATGTGAAAAACATATTTTACATTTCACTTCGCGTAAAACGGGTGAAACGCCATTATAACAACATATTTATACCTTCTGTATTGTCACTTCACGTGGATGAGAATTTGTGAAGTTACTATGGCGAGTGAAATAGATTGTTTCCCATTGTCATGATGATCGAAAACTACTTCGATTTTTTAAAGTGTTGGCAGTAGTAATACCTAGGGAGAGCGAATGCGAAGGAATTGTAGTATATGGAATTTGACGGATTTATGGTAATTTATTTATTCTTCAGATGTTGGAGAGTGCGCCAAGCAGCTGCTAAAGGTTCCTGTCATGTCGGAAGACTTCCTCCCAAGATTGGTTGATAGTATGTTTAACCGTCTAGTGCGGCCATATGCTATGGATGGTATACAAGAGGTAGTTGAGGAGGGCATGGGAGGACGAGTATTGAGTTTGTTGGGCTAGAGTGTATCTTGCGGATTTGATACGACCATGTTTTATTCATATTAATTCGAACATTGATAGAACGTGAAAAAGTAATGTTGTTGCTGTCGAAAGAATCAGTCGGGTTCGATCCGAGCATATGTTATTTTAATAGTAGTATTTATATTAATTTATGTTAACTCGAATATTGATAGAACGTGGAAAAGTAATGTTGTTGATGAGATTGAATTTTGCATCGTTTTCTTGGATTAGAATTGTCAAGTGAATCAGTCGGGTTCGATCCGACCATATGTCATTTTAATAGTATTATTTATATTTATTTATGTTAATTCGAACATAGATAATATGTAGGTAGTGATTTTGTTGCATGAAAAATACTGGGTCTGGGGTTCGAACCGGAGACCTATCCTGCATTCCTGGGGTGAGCACAGCAGACAATCTAACTTAGGGCGAAGTCTTCTCAACGCGTGTCGAGCCTCGTCACGCTGGTTTTGTTTTGAACAATCATGCCGCGGATATTCTCTCCGAGTATTTGTGGTTGTCGTGAAATACGACGGCTTTGCTCGAATTTTTTGGAATTTTTTTTGGATTTGGTGTAAAATTTTTCACTTTTTTTCCAGCCCCCTAAACTCTTCTTCACTCGCCTTATACACAGTGTTATGGCGTTGCAGTCGAGCACTAAGCCACTCATTGAGGAGGCGTTGAAGTTGTTGATATCTGGACCGAAGCCTTTGGTGGATGCAGGATCGGATATACGTATGGAAATGGTAGGAGGTGCGGTATGGGAAAATGAGTGTTTTAGTGACAATATGGGAATTGCGAGGAAATTATTCTTTCTAGTTTTTGTATATTCTCCCGAGAGTTTTGTGTAAAATTTTATGAAGTAGTTTTGGAGAATTTTGAGCTCAGCTGAGAAAAGCAAATGAATATTCCAAAAATGTCGAATGTGAATCGCATCGCTCCGCTGTATAGAGTGTTGTTGCTCATGTCAGGCTCTGGCGGACTTCTTTGCGATGCATTTGATCAACTCGGACTATAAGTGGGAATTTGATATCGACCCGAGTAGGTTGGGGGGCCGGGTTTTGGGATTCGCTCGATTTACGGTATGAATTTCTGCCGTGTTGTCCCCTGCATTCGGAGGAGTTGGTATTAGTGTGAATGTCGGGTGTATTGCTGATGAGGGTGTGAGAGGGGAATATGCACAATGCCAACTACATATTTTGGTGTATGAAAATGCCGAGGAAATTTTGTGAAGTTGCTGTTGATTTCTGCATATTTCTACCCAAATTCATGTGGAAATTTTGAAGCTCTGAAGGCTGGGAAAAGCGAACATATATTCCAACACTTACTGAGAGTGAATTTCATTGAGATTAGAGTAGATCTTATGGGTTGCTGTTAAACTAGGACTGTCAGTTGTGAATGTAGCATGGGAAAGGGGCCGAGTAGAGCAGATAAAATAGCAAATTTCTGCAAGTCTCAATTTCTGAAAATTGTTGAAGTTGCGAGGAGTGTAGTTGCGCTGAATTTAGTGATTGGAATAATGTGGAGTGTGATGGTTATGATATAATCTCGAAATTGGTTTTCTGTTTTTTGCATTTTT